GGTGAGTTCGGGTTAGGTATGATCATCCATGCTCACCCATTTTTACCACTATTGCAACTAAGGCTCTCAAATGCTCAAAACTTGCACGATTTCAAATGAATGCAAAATACTAACAAGTTAAGACAATTTATTCTAAAGTGAGGCTAGAGCATTTCACGTAGAGTGTGAAATGGAAAGAATTATGTGTATATATAACTATGTAATAGTTTTGACATATCTTAGAAGCATCTATGCAAATTTCTTAGCAAGGTGATCACTTATATTATACAATATCTCTCAAGTTTCAAGGACTTATATTGGTATATATAATTAATGGTTGTATCTTAAATATTTCAGTTGTATCTTTATATAACTAGGAATAACATATTTAATTCTAATGATATAGCTCGTACATAGTAAGCATATTATGTACATAATTACCAAGTTGATCTTTAGGAGAAGATTACATGAATATAATCAATATGTAATCCTTAAGAAATGAACGTGAATAAATAATAAGTATGAAATCAATATTGTTTTAAAGTAAATATAATCTAAAACTATAGTCACCAAATAACTTCTTCAAATCTATATATCTATAAGAAAAAAAGGTTCTACCACATCATCACTATTCTCTTTCACATTTTCCCTCCTAAATATGTCCATACATTATCATGTCCCTCACACACTCTATTAATCCTTCATTTTTTCTATCAAATACTCAATAATTTACACATTCTCACATTCTCATATTCTTTTTCCATCAAAAAATCTTTCTTCATTTTTCTTAAATCAATTATTATATTTCTTCATTTTCCATAAACTCGTATTCTTATTAGTAATCCTATTATGCACATTCCTTATAATAATGTGAAAGCAATCCTATTATTTTGTAGATATATTCTTATTTTGTATATCTCATATTTAAAGTGCATATTTTATTTATTTTTTGTTCATTTTGTATATATGTTCTTATTTTGTGATTTTGTTCTTATTTTATGATTTATTTTTGTTTATTTTTCATTAGTTTCCTTATTTTGTACATGTGTTCTAACTGATTTCATTATTTTGTAGATCTGTTGTTCGAATCGTTCTCTTCGTTAGCTTCTTATAAGCAAGAGCATCGTCCACGAGTACCATCAAACCTTCAAAATATATGGTTGTTGGTCGTTTGTTTGTTTTTGTTATTAACTTATTTATCTCTTCATCATATCTCGCTTTTATAATTTTCTCTTATTATTTGCAGTTTGGTTATCCCTTTAAGTTTTTTCTTCTCTACTTTTATTTATATATTTTTTATTTCTTCTATATTTTTTTGAGTTAATTACACTCATACCCCCTGAGTTTTAGTGAAATTACACAAACCACCCCTCCATTTTTTGTCCTTACACGAACCACCCCTCACTCTTACACAAACCACCCCTGATTTTATACATATATTACATTAACCACCCCTGATTAGATATAAATGTAATATTTTAAACAAAAAACGTGCGATGAGTGTAATTAAGTTAAACAAAACATTATATATTGTGTAGACAATTCCAAATAGTACAAAACTGTGTGTCTTTTTATTATTTTTGTTTCATTATACAATATATTAACAATTCTAAATAGATGTTTATATAACTCTTATATTATTTTTGTAATGAACCAAATAATGAATATGCATTGACTTTTATATTATTTGGATTTGTCTATACAATGTACAATATTTTGTTTAACTTAATTACACACATCACATGTTTTTGTTTAAAAAATTACACTTACATCTCATCGGGGGTGGTTAGTGTAATATATGTACAAAATTAGGGGTGGTTCCTGAAAGGACAAAAAAGGGAGGGGTGGTTTGTGTAATTTCACTAAAACTCAGGGGGTGTTAGTGTAATTAACTCTATTTTTTTTATTTATATATTTTTTATTCAAAGATTCACTACTTTTCTACAACATATTTATCTCTTCATCATATTTTGCCATAATCATTTTCTCTTTTCATTTGCATTTTGGTTCTCCATTCAGAACATTTTCACAAGTTAGTTTTCTCTTATCTTCATCTTTTTTCTACACTTTTTTATTCAATAATCAGATTTTCATTTTTTGTTTTGCATGTTGTTATAAACACCTAGAGTGTATCATCCTCTTAAAATTCTTTTGATTTAAGTTCCATCCTCATATGTGATATTTGATTATGTGTCTTTCAATAACTCAAATGTCAAGAATATAAAGTTTTTTCATTGTTCTAAAAAGGAAATGTGCAATTATTCATATTGTTTTCTTTTATTTTTATATCCACACAAACTTTTCAAGGACTAAAATGATCATTTATATGAATTATGGATAATTATGGAATAATAACGGTTGGAGAAAATTACTCTCGAGATTTAAGAGTAATTAATGTGAATAATGAAAGATAAAACATAGTAGAATAATAATAAAGGAAATTCATAAGGGAATAGAAACTGCATATGTGAATAATGACAATAAATTTTGATATATTATTGTAATTTGTAATTGAATAAGTGAATAAATATCGATAGCGTTGAATAAATATCGCCGATCAGTTGCAAACTAATAATTAATAATTACTTTGAATAAATATCGCCGACCATTAAGAAATAAATAAAACTCATGAATACAAGTGAATAAAAACAATATTGTCATTTAATGTGATGCTTATTGGTGAGATCGATGATGCTATTCTAGTTAAAAAATAATGTATAGTAATCACTATATGCAAATTAATATGTGTTCTTTATTTTTAAAAAACTAAAAATTAAACATAATGTTCTCATTTTCATTTATTAATATTGTTCATACATTTCCATTATTATCTTTAAAACATTTTAGCACTTTTGATCCTAAATAATTAAGGCCTTCATTATTTTGAAAAAGAATCGAATTATATAATTACAACTTTCCTATTTCAATGGTCATTTATTACTAAAATTTCATTTCTATCTATTAAAATATTATTATCAAAGTTGTCATACTAAATGATTAAATCCGTATTTATTTTGAAAAAAATATAAGTAATTAATTACAATTTCCCCCTTTGTATACTTTTAAAAAAATGGAATAATAATCGATTATACTAACAACTAATAAGAAATAATATTATAGAAATAAAAGAAATTATAAAAAGTTACATTAAGAAAAAATCACAATAAATCATAAAACTAAACAAGTTCTCCATATGTAAGTCTATATTAAGAATGATAAATATAAGTTTTTATTATATTTATTAGTTAACAAAATATATAAACTATAGAGTATGAAAGTCAGTAAAAAAAGTGCAAAAGTATATAGCTAACATATCTTCACGAAACCATGCAAACGCACAAATAGCGTGTATATTCTTAATCATATGAATGCACATATAATGTGTGTTCTTAATCATATGATAAAAAATATTGTCCGTACAAATGCACAGATTACTTACTAGTTTTACTATATAAACCATGGATGATAGGATAAACCAGCTCATAATTAAGTCACATCTTAATCTCAACCACTGAACTGTTCAATCCCTTAAAAAATAAAGTCATGTTAGTTTTATTATTAGACTCATTTTCTCGTTTTATTTGCTATCCATATTTGCTTTACATGAAATCTTGCTTAGGAATTTGGATCCTATGTTATACCGGAAAGTCATTACAACAATAGATCGTGACATGTGTATTTTAAAATAATTAATGGTACAAAATTTCACTTATTTTTATGTGATGTTTTTTCTTTAAACTTAAAATTATTCCGGCCTTTATATTCACCGCAACATATTTAGTATTTAATGGAGGTTTTTTGTGGATGTTATACAAATCTCCCTAAATAAAGCAAATATGATGGACCGGAGGATTAACTAAATATATAGTAGATGCTTTTATTTAATTTATGAAAGTTTTTAACCTCCACTATCAATTTGAAAAAAAAAATCTTGCATATCACACTATATCACTTTCAATTAATTTCAAAATATGACTTTTCCTAAAATCAACTTCCAAATAAAAAAAATATCTTTAAAAATGTAAATTAGAGGATGATAAAAATGAAGGTCATCTCAATGATAAAGTATGGATGACAATGAAAACCGAACTCGCAGGTACCCGTCCGAACCCAACCTGAATTTAACGGGGAAAATCCGATGTGATTGGGTTCAGGTTTTACCCGAGTTCAAATTTCTGGTTTGGTATTGTTAATACCCTACCCCGAACTCGCCCTGAACTCGATTAATATATATAAAATTATAAAATTACACAAAAATACATATATAAAATTATAAAATTACTCATAAATACATACACACACATATATATATATATATATAATATATTTTCAGGTTATAGTGTTGTTCCCTACACAATGATGCAATCCGCAGTTGCAAAGAACATGGTGGAGAGTCTCTCTTTGCACTTATGCATTCCGTGATAAGGTAATGCTTATACTTTCTAGCAGTTGCATAGTTATACTTTCTAGTTGCATAGTTGCACTATATATATATATATATACTAATATATAAAGAGAAAACACAAAATAATTACCTATGATGGTGTAATTTGTGTTTTATTATTTTGCCCTTACTAATATATATTTTTACCAAAAAACCATATAACATATGTCATCATTTTATGTTCCATGTTTGTTTATGTAAGTTTTTCCATTTGAACACGACCGTTTTCCAACATGGATCAAAACAATATTTGAACACGACAATTTAGCTTTTTCATTTTTTAACATGCAAAATTGTAAATCATGTTTTGTTGATTTTGTAATAAAAATATACAAATCAATTACAATTTATGAGTGTATGTCAACACGCTAGTATATATAAATTATATATATATATATATATATATATATATATATATAAGATATATATGTTTAGTTCGGGGTTTTTTCGGGTTTGGTTACCCGAAACCTGACTGGTTCAATAATGATATCATTGTTTTCAACCCGCTTAATTTGAGTTCAGGTTTTGAATTTCTGGTAAGGATTGGATAAAAACAAACCCAATCCGCCCCATAAGAAAAGAGTTCACATATAAAAATGATAAATGAAAACTAATATCTTTTAGTCTCAATAACATTATTATAGGAAAATGACTTCACAATCTCACTGCTAGTTCAAAAACCCTAATTTCTCTTTACTTCGAGCAACGCGAACCCCCATGTCCAAACTCGAGATCTCAAAATGAAGGTTTTCCTCTACAACTCTAATTTTCGCACTATTTGATTCCTTACTTTGTTGCTTGATTTTGTGATTTGTTATTAGCAATGTTTAATTATTATTGTAGTTCAACATTGCAAATCCCACCACTAGATGCCATAAGAAGCTGGAAATCGATGATGACCTGAAGATGTAATCTCTTCACTACTTTAATTTCTCTTATTGTTTGTGTTCATAGGAAAAATTAAATGGAAAATGAGAAGATTTTATTTATATTTTCCCTCCTGTAATGTAAATTGAATGGATGATAGTGATTTACGTGTGAATTTGATTTCTAAGTTATTCAGTATAGGAATTTGATTTATACTGAATCAAATTCCTCCGGCACCGTTGTATTCCTCCGCTACAAGAACCCTCACTTATGGCCACCGCAAATCGAGGTAGTTGCTATCACCTTGGAATCATTTGATTGATTTGCATCTCCCTTGTCTCTTCATATTGATAGGTCTGCTATGTTCTGGACTCGCTTATATCTTGACATTTGAATCAAATAATGATTTTGTAGTTTTAATTTGTTTTGGCAATGGACTATGTTTAATCTCTTTTGTTTCTTGTTCTTTTCACATACGTTTAGGGCTTTAGGTCAATCTTCATTCTCTTAGTGTATTTGTCTCAACGACTAATTTTCTAGTTCACTGAGGTTACTGGTGAAACTTTTAACAACACCATTTGAAGCTCAGTAATAGGATACATGTATAGCTTGATAGACCCAAATTGTTGTAGTTCCACTAAGCTAGCCAACATCTTTGTTTACTTGTCTTAATACATAAATGTCACTCAACATTAAATTATTTTCACCAACACTTTTGAGTATGGTAATAAGTTGTCAGTTGGTTAGAACTTTACTAATCCAACTTTTCAAGTGATATTTTGGAGCTAAATAATTGAGCATCAAAATGAATCTATAGTTTCCTAATTCATGGTGGTATATATAGCAAAATTAACACGTTTGTATTCAAATTGTGACTTTGTGAGCAAAAATATATATTTGAGTGATTGTTATTAATGTTCATGCATTGTCTCTGGTGTTATCCTTATATAATAAATGTATTTTGAATTAACTTACATATTATTATTTGGCTTTTTTTGTTGGTTCATTTACTATTAGGAGTTAACTACTTTCTGATCAAAATTGCAAATGGAAATAGCCATTGTTTAGTTTATTTGAGTAATTTGTGTTAGTCATTGTTAAAAGTAGCTTATATAATATCTTGATCGGATGGAATGAGATTATAATGCTCTATCATAGGAAGATGCTCTATTATAATGTTTTATTGTATAATGCCTAATGGAAGCCTTTCTTGAGTAGCTATTTAGCAATGCGTTTTAATTTTTTCTGCTATATTTTTTCCTTGTTAAAAATTGAATTGTAGCTCTGTGGTAAGCCGTTTATGAATCAAATATTGTGCTATGATTTTTTCTGCTATATTTTTGTAGATTGTTGGGTATTCTTAATGACTAGAAATGATTATGGAATGTGTATTTAGGGGTGTAGTGGAGATATTATTATGAATGCTTGGGGTTATTGAATAAAAGTGAAGGGCACTTATGGAAATAAAAGTGTATGCTATCATCTGTACTCTGTTTGAAAATATATTGCAGGTTCTAATGTATACTTAATATGTGACCTGATTGCCCTGCTGGATTGATATTATGATGAGGTGGAACCTTGATGCAGAAGTTGTTTTTGTATAGCTTATGTAATGCACACATACTTGGCAGGTGCATTGCATGTGTAATATTGAATACAATCACACTTGCTTATATTTTGAAAATTGTAAGTGAATTTTGGATGAATTATATATATTAGAGATGCATGGTAATGTGAAAATGCAGGTTGGTGAGTATACAACCGTAGAGGAATTGAAATGATTTAGTGCATAATCAAAGAACCATTACTAAAACAGAAAATACAGTGGATGATGCAGATAAAGAATTGTTTCTTTGTGCTTTCATAAAGCATTCAGATTATTTGCTCACTGCTAGAGTCCTTACTTATTTCCAGTCTGGTATTTTTATATTCAGTATTTTGTTCGTTTTTTGCTACTGCTTGATGTTGTTTTTTGCTTCTTCCGTTTGTTGGTGTTGTTTGCCTTGGATGTATTCTAAGATTTTTAGGCAATTTAGAGTTAAGAGTAAACTTTCATCATAGAAGACCAATTTATTTTTAGTCACAATAATGGAAGTGACACAAGACTGCCGGATCAATTGCTTCATTTGTGGAACATTCAATCTATTGTTAAATGCCAAATGGTGCCAATGAAGTTGTACCACTTTATCACTATATGTGGGAGCATAACACTAGTTTTGGCCCAGTTACCATCCTTTCATTCCCTTAGGCACATAAATTTGATTTCTCTATTTCTTTGTCTGACTTATGGAACATGTATGACTGTGGGTTCTATATACATTGGTAAGGAAAGAAAAATACAATGTTAATTAATCTAAGCAAAAAATTATAGATTTTTAATCTACTTGATTCATTGCTTGCATCTATCACAGGTCACTCAAAGAATGCACCCACCACTAGAAGTTATTCATTAAAAGGTCCTAAAATTGTTCAACTTTTTGGTCTCTTCAATGGTATTTCTATCATTTCTACTACCTATGCTTGTGGAATAATTCCAGAAATACAGGATATTTTATCATGTTATTGATTTGATGAGGATATATATTAGATTTAAAACTAAACAAGTTTTGAATAATGAAACATTACTCAACCTTTTATCTCAAATTGGAAATTTCTTTTACAAATTTGCAGGCAACTATAGCACCTCCTATAAAGGGCAAAATGTTCAAAGGACTATGTATATGTTACTTTGTTATAAACTCTTACTTTTGGTAGAAGGAAGCACCCACCTGCACCATTGTTTGGGCTGCAGTACAGTGACAGTAGTGTAGCAATAAAAGAGTTGACCAAGTCTTTTGGACGGGATTCATATGATTCATTCACGCAACATGATATCCAAGAGCTTAATATGGTTCTTAGTGAAAAGCTGGAAGACAAAATGAAGGTATGATGTTTTAATGGTAAATGCTTGTGCTTATGTTGTTTCAACAAAGTCGCTTTTACTTGATGTATGTGAATATTTCTAAAACTTCCACAAAACGATTCTAGCGGTCATAACTGTAGAGGTTTCTGAAACCTCCGCTAGTTATATTGTGAAGGTTAAAAACCTCTACTAATCGCATAAAAAATCTTCACTAAATACAAAATCTATTGTAGTGATTCTAGTATTGGACTGTCCAGTACTAAAAATGATCCAAACTTGTGAAATATATATTTCTTTAAATGAAACATATAAAAAATAATCATATAAAGGCGTAAGAACTTTCAACAAATAGATCATTGTTTGTAGAACATTGTGGTAGCACCAGTTCCACATGGAGAAGGGTATTTGAGGAGGACGTGAAACAAACTTTTGATTCACATCTATGTTTACCAACTTCTGTTCACCAACTTCTTCAAGTCTCCTATTATTTCTCCATTCAAACTATAACTATAGATTTTTTTTGGCCCACAACAAAAACAAGAACATTCCCATTCATAACCGTAAATGCTATCACCTTAGGATCTTTCTCCTTCAACCCTAATGCTTTTACTCTTACTTTCATAATTTTATACTATAAACTTGATTCGTAATCTCTCAAAACCCATATAGTAAAGACAAACTTTTTCAACCTTACCAAATAAATGGATTTAGGCATTGAACTAGAGAGATTGCTCTATTTGAATATGTTCATGTCACAAGTCAATTCATGAGACCCTCTTCTAGCTTCATTAGGCACTTTAAGCATACTTGAGATACCAGTCTCAAGATTATAGGACATTATATAAGGCCTAAAATTAGAGTTATTTTTAACAAGGTAATTAGAACAATCTGAAATAAAATGGAGACATCCATTGTAATGAACAGACATATCAAATTTCATTCTCCTAGGACCTACAAAGAATGGGGTTTCCATTCTTTTCCATACACCACCATTTGGTGAAAAACATTACAAATATAATATGAAGATGATTCCCAATCAATTGGATCTTCAAAATTAATTATCTTGTAATCATCTGAGTCAAGAATTTCATTGTCGCATTCCAATATCATTTTGAGATTAACATTTGGATTTTGTTGAAGATGCTCTAGGATAGGAATAGATAACCAAGATTTTGGCGGATGATAAAAGATTTTTTAGAAAACAAAAAAGGGAATTTGTGAAGAGCAACAAGAGTGGGAAACTAATAATGAAGTTGTTGTATTTTACTTTTGCTTTTGTAACCCATCCACAAAATCTTGGTTATCTATTCTTATCCCAGAGTGTCTTCAACAAAATCCAAATACTAATCTCAAAATGATATTGGAATGCAGCAATGAAATTCTTGACTCAGATGATTACAAGATAATTAACTTTGAAGATCCAATTGATTGTGAATCATCTTCATATTATATTTCTAATGTTTTTATCCAAAGGGTAGTGTATGGAAAAACCATTCTTTGTAGGTCCTAGGAGAACGAAATTTGATACGTCTGTTCATTATAATGGATGTCTCCATTTTATTTCATATTGTTCTAATTACCTTGTTAAAAATAACCCTTATGTTAGGCCTTATATAATGTCCTATAATCTTGAGAATAGTATCTCAAGTATGCTTAAGGTGCCTAATGAAGCTAGAAGAGAGTCTCATGACTTAAGTTGTGACATGAGCATATTCAAATGGAGCAATATCTCTAGTTCAATGCCTCAATCAATTTGTTTGTTAAGGTTGAAAAAGTTTGTCTTTACCTTATGAGTTTTGAGAGATTATGAATCAAGTTTATGGTATAAAATTATGAATGTAAGACCACAATGTTCTACAAACAATGATCTCCTACTTATCCTCAATTTTCTTCTCAATACACATGAAAATCTTGAGGGGAAGTTAAGATGTGTGAAATAACAATTGTATCCTTAATAATAATCATAAAAAAAATGGAAAACACAATGTTACAAGGATATTATTGTATATACAATAAAATATTATATTTCTTTTTTCCTCTTTATCTTATATTAAACAGCTCTTAAAATTCACTCTTTTTTTATCATTTTATCTCTACTCATATTCTTTCTTCATATCTTCTATCCTCTCATTTTCTTCCCTCAATGGAAGATAGCCTTAGTCTCTTAATAAGGTTATTAACATGAAACACATTAGTCACTTAAGCATGAACATAATGGATTAGTATATATTCTAATAATAGATGAATTAACACATATATGGTGGTTATAAAATCCATACTATCAACCTTTTGTCTAAAAACTAGAATGTAAAGTTAACTACCAAGAAGTAATATGTGAGAGATAGAGTTTGTGCAACTGCAACTTGGTAACCCTTGTGAGTATACATTATTATGAAGCCTCATTTGTAGAGAAATAGTGGCAATATACTTGGATCATTTGAATCTTCCTTAGTAACTGTAGTGAAGATGATGTTATTATATTGCAAATATGATTCGCTTTAACCTGTCTCATTCTCTATCATGATTTACATTTGTATGTGTTTACTCAATTTTATACTTAGGAATGATATCTTTTAGCTCAAAGTATATAATACATTTTGCTGTAACAACCTGTGCAAATATTATTTTGAATATGCCATTTATTCTTCAATCTTGTCATCATGTATATATATGTAAATTATTTCAAAAATATCTACATATATATCATTTTACATATCAAATTATATATTCATAATAATTAGTAATATTTAGAAAGCATTGTCTAAAATGGTAAGACATTTTATTTAATTGGGTCTAATTCGGATTCAAGTTCAAAAATTAACCTTATCGACATATAAGATCAGATTAGCCTTCAAATTTAAGGGTGAGTTCGGATTTGGTATGATCATCCATGCTCACCCATTTTTACCACAATTGCAACTAAGGTTCTCAAATGCTCAAAACGTGTACGATTTCAAATGAATGCAAATTACTAAACAAGTTAAGAAAATTCATTCTAAAGTGAGGCTAGGGCATTATCACATAGAGTGTGAAATGGAAAGAATTACGTGTATATGTAACTACGTAATAGTTTTGACATATCTTAGAAGCATCTATGAATAGTGGTGGGAAAAGAGAAACTCTGAGATGATTGTCAATCACTGCCATTTTTCTTAGCAAGGTGATCACTTATATGTTACAAACTTACAATATCTCTTAAGTTTCAAGGACTTATATTGGTATATATAATTAATGGCTGTATCTTAAATATTTCAGTTGTATCTTTATATAACTAGGAATAACATATTTAATTCTAATAATATCGTTTGTACATAGTTAGCATATTATGTACATAATTACCAAGTTGATCTTTAGGCTGAAGATTACATGAATATAATCAATATAATCCTTAAGAAATCAACGTGAATAAATAATAAGTATGAAACCAATGTTGTTTTAAATTAAATATAATCTAAAACTATAATCACCAAACATCTCTTCAAATTTTACTATATAAACCATAGATGATAAGATAAACCAGCTCATAATTAAGTCACATTTTAATCTCAAATACTGAGCTGTTCAATCCCTTCAAAAATAAAGCCATGTCAGTTTTATAATTAGACTCATTTTCTCCTTTTATTTGCTATCTATATTTGCTTTACATGAAATCTTGTAGAGGAATTTGGATCCTATGTTGTACCGGAAAGTCCAGTACAACCACATATCGTGACATGTGTATTTTAAAATAATTAACGGTATATATTTTCACTTATTTTTAATTAAAGTTTTTTCTTTAAACTTCAAATTATTTTGGCCTTTATATTATAGTACTGGACTGTCCAGTACTGAAGATAATCCAAACTTCTTGCGAAATATATATTTCTTTAAATGTAACATATTAAAAATAATCTTATAAAGGCAAAATCTAGTGACATAAATTCCATTATAAATTTTTCACTATGATAGAAAGTGTTACAAATTTGTTGTTCCTTGAGAAAACAAATAGACAAATTTACATTAATCAGTAAGAAATTTCAACTTTCGAGGAGGATTCCACTCAAACATTTTTTTTCATTGGGATAAGTAGGAGATCATTGTTTGTAGAGCATTGTGGTAGCACCGGTTCCACATGGACGAAAGGTATTTGAGTAGGAAGTGAAGCAAACTTTTGAATCACATCTATGTTCACCAACTTCTTCAAATCTCCTATGATTTTCTCCATTCAAATTATAACTATAGATTTTTTGCCAACATAAAAAACAAGAACATTATAAATGCTATCACCTTAGGATCTTTCTTATTCAACCCTAATGCTTTTACTCTCACTTTCATAATTTTATACCATAAACTTGAATAATAATCTCTCAAAACTCATACGGTAAAGACAAACTTTTTCAACCTTATCAAACAATTAGATTGAGGCATTGAACTAGAGAGATTACTCCATTTGAATATGTTCATGTCACAAGTCAAGTCATGAGACCCTCTTCTAGCTTCTTTAGGCACCTTAAGCATACTTGAGATACCACTCTCAAGATAATAGAACATTATATAAGGCCTAAAATAAGGGTTATTTTTAACTAGGTATATAGAGCAATCTGAAATAAAATGGAGACATCCATTATAATGAACAGACATATCAAATTTCATTCTCCTAGGACCTACAAAGAATGGTTTTTCCATTGTTTTCCACACAACACTCTTTGGATGAAAAACATTATAAATATAATATGAACACGATTCTCAATCAATTGGATCTTCAAAATAAATTACCTTGTAGTCATCTAAGTCAAGAATTTCATTACCGCATTCCAACATCATTTTGAGATTAGCATTTGGATTTTGTTGAAGATGCTCTGGGATAGGAATAGATAACCAAGATTTTGTGGATGGGTTACAAACAAATTAATCGACTAGATTCTTGTAAGTAGTACGATCAACATTTAGGTCGGGTAGGGACAAGCCTTAACCCGTCCCAACCGAGCTCACGCTCACCCCTACTTTATACTAATAGGTGAGGTCAACTTCATGAATCAAAACACGCTGTAATGTTCTATATAACTCATGTCCATTGACAAAGAATTGATATCTAAACATTTCTTAATGTCTTTGCCTACGATTTTCTTGGTCTCACTCTTATTCTAGAAATTGGATTAACCTTCTTTTGATTCACTCTTTTTATATAGGCT